AGGCCCTTCTCTATATTGAAGTGGCCTGCTGCTGCGTGCAGTAATGCGGTACTGGGCCCTGGCCCAGAAGCTTCTGGTAGGCCCCACGAGGCTGAGCCTCAGTCCGAAGTAAACAGGCCCAGGGCCTGTGGTGGTTACCAGGAACCAACTGCCGTCAGCCTTTGTTCGGTCCACTTGGTGTATCTGGCCCAGGGCCTGCCTCAGTTACATGCAATAAAAGGCAGCCTGGGCCTGGGCGCTTTCAACCAACTGGCGCTGCGCAACTGCCTGAATTTCCCCAGTTGCATGGTGACCCCAAAATGGCCTGTAGGCCTCGGTCGGGCCTGCCTTCACTTAGGGCGGCCGACTGTGTGGAAAATAGGCCCTGTAGGGCATATCGAGGCCCTGTGCCTCGCATTTGAATTATTTCTGTCACTCTGTTTGGAAGGTGTGTTTTTGGGCTGTTGCAGATATGTCTGTACAAACTGCTTCAATCTCGAAAAAAGGCGTGTGCCTTCCAGCTGCGAAAAGGCCTGCCAGCCCTCCCGAAGTTTTCTGCATTCCACCCAAGAAAATTGAAGGGGTGGGTAGGGCCATTGCACACACAGTATAGGGGCTGCTTGACCTCATTTGTTTTACATCCAGAAATGAAATTGCGACGGCCGGTTGTCCAAACCGCACATGCAGGGGCTGCTGGCCCTCCCAACTATATGTAAGGCACCACCACACACACACACACACACACACACACACACACACACACACACACACACACACACACACGTGTCCAAGTGGGCCGTTAAGGCATATGGGGATGTGGGCAGCTGGCGCTAAGCACCACCAACGTGGGCAGACTTGTACTCGTGCAGCATAGTAAAAGAGGAGCTGTTGCCCCGAAGAAACCTCAGCTGAACACAGTTCTAAACGGTTCTGTTGCAATAAATCACAGTTTCCCAGTGGGGCTGTACACCAAGTGTTTGGCTTTGTAGTTTTTTTTTTCTTGTTTTGAGCCTTGCGAGACTTGATTCCGTGACCTGTAACTCGCGTGTTTTGTTTGTGAGTGCTGCGCCCTATGGGACTTGATCCCTGAGTCTGTCACTAGTAGTCTCTGTTTGGTAGCCTTAGGCCATTCGGCCTTTTCCTTTTGCCTTGTTACTGGTCTAGGTCCCCCTTTCCCCGTTTCCATCTAGATGTAGACAAGTATTGGGTTGTTGCCTTTGGAGTATGTCATAGGTCTAGGGAGAGGGTAGAAGTAGCGGGCAGGAAATTTGGTTTGGGTCTTTTTGTTCCAACACCCCTCTTTGCACCACTCAAGAAGCCCACTGCAGATGAATGTCCACTCAGCAGGGGAGCACAACTTCCAGGATGATGAAGGAGAACAGCAATTCAATGAAGTCGAAGATCTGCCACGTCGAAGAAGAACCGCTGAAAGCGCAGCTTTGGGGGCAGCTGACCAAACCCCAACAAGCACACAAATATGAGGAAGCACTCATCAGCACTTGGGTGCCAAACCCAGCGCTGTCACCAATGGAGCTGGCCGGCCCCTGCTATGGCCGCCAGCAGCATGTGGAGAAGATGTCCTGCGTAGATGTCCACAATATCTTTATAATTTGGGTGCTTGCAAGCACAATAGCTAGAGCTTGACGAAGAGGGAGGAAGAAGAAGACTCCTGGATACTTCGATGAAAGCTTGTAAATAATTGGTCCGTGGGTGTTGACAACTTGGTTGGGATCCTTGGAAATTTGTGCTGTTGATTGACTTGGGGAGGGACGATGATTAGAATTGATTTTCATTTCAATTCTATTTTTGGTGTTTGTGTGCTTCCACTGTGTGTTCTTATAATCCAGTGTCGTGTGGATTGCTCCCCCCAAAGGTCACTCGTTATTGCACGTTTATGGGAACGTGTGGATGCCATGTTGGATCTCGTTTCAATCAGGCACATAACACTATTATGATCCATGTTGCTTGCCAAAGAGGTGAAATTCTTTAATTGTTCAGCTGGCGCAACTCGAATCTACTCGTCTGGGTGGAATAGAGGCTGTAGTGGTGCAAATTTAAAACACTCTTCCACACACACACACACACACACACACACACACACACACACACACACACACACACACACACACGTCTTGTTGGTTTTTTTGATTATACACGGCCTAAGTCTTTGCCCTGCTTTAGAGCATGGGATGTTTGGATGTTTACGGGTGGCCACGAGTTCTCTTTGGGGAGAATGTATGGGTCCACCCCCAACCGGAACCAGGCCAGTGGGACCGAGTGGTCCACCAGGCCGGTTGCCCTCAGGTTGGCTATAGCGCATAGGCGAATACTCGCCGATTCAATTTTTTTTTGGGCCCGGAGGCCCCCACGCAGGTTGTGGGGGCGTCCTGGCCCTAAAAAAAATTGAAACGGGTCCGGTAGGGAAGGCTCCAAGTTTCGAAAAGGGCTGCCTCTCTGGACCGCTGATCTCGAAAGATCGGTGGCCCAAATGAGGCCTCCTTTTCAAAACTTGGAGGAGCTGCCGTTCCCTCCCACGTACGACTTCTCGCCTCCCCCCGACTCACCAGCTGTTCCGTCGACAAGCCAACGCCCCCGTTGTCGTCGAGTGTCGCCGTTGTCATCTTCATCGTCGTGCAGCGAAGCCAGCCCCCTCGCCCGCCAGCGCGCCACAGGTCTGTCTTCTTCTTCTTCTTCTTCTTCTTCTTCTTCTTCTTCTTCTTCTTCTTACGTTGTCTGGAAGCGTAGGCGCGTGATAATAGAGAGAGAGAGAGAGAGAGAGAGAGAGAGAGAGAGAGAGAGAGAGAGAGAGAGAGAGAGAGAGAG